AAAGTGGGGGCTGTGAGAATCGAACTTGTAACCTTATAGTCACTCAAGCTCTGATACCATGTAAAAAATCTTGGGATACACCATCCCAAAAGCTAGCTCAAAGGGTGAGAGTGCTCAAGGCCTTATAAAGGCCACATTAATTGCCCACACAATCAACGTGAGACTATAATATGAGCGAAATGAGTTGGGGCTTTTGAGTATTCTCTCACTCGTGTGTGATACTCTGGAAACCAAAAAATATTTCTTTCAAATTGATCATTATCTCTCAATATCTCCGGTAAAATAAAATGAGAGTGTGAAAAAATAATTGTCACATATTACTATAATTCCTTAAAATTAAAGGTATTCAAAAACTTTTTGCATTCTTGCATAAAATCTTAAACATTAATTATTTTAGGTTTTAATATTTCTACAGTGAATATAGATAAGTTATCATCAACATTCGCTCTTAAAACGACGTCGTTTTGAGTTGAAAAATTAAAAAATTATAATGAAAAAGACAATTATAACCTTGAAATAAATTATAATTACAAAAATACATTGATTTCCGTCTCAAAAAGACGTCGTTTTGGACTAAATATTGATAAGTTATCTACATTGACCGTAGAAAAAGCGAACCCATTATTTTAAGGAGTAATTTTAATGGAAAATATGTCTATGATATACAAAAAGTGTGTGATATCCGCTTTTTTTTTCTCTCTCTAGTGAGTTTCGCCTATTTTTTTTTTGTGTTGTATGAGATAACTGTTTCATACGACATGAAATACAAATTCCCCAATTTTAATTGTTGACTTCATTTATATTTAGAATCGTTAAATGCAAATGAAATTAATAACTAATAATAAAACAAACACTTATATTAATATAAGGTCATAATTCTCTAATTTTAAAATAGATGCAATATAAGTTTAACAACAATAATTAACTTATTATTATACTCATTATACAATCCTACATGATCTCGTAGACCAAATAAAGCTATTAATGGATAGGTATTTATGACTCCTCAATTAATTAAGGAGTTTAAAAGATTATTTGATTTAAGAAAATATTTTTTCATAAACTACAAAAAAATCATCTTATGTTTATTATTTTCTTATATGAATCTTTAAATTAAAAAATAAAATATTGTTTTTAATATTAATAAAAAAATATTTTATTAAAAAGTATTTCAACATCAACCAATGTGGGACTACATATCTCAACACGCCCCCTCACGCAAGAGCCCTCTTGGCTTGAAGCGTGGATTATGCAATAGGCTCAATCTTTGGTTTACCTTTTTTTGTGCTTCCACTTTAAAGTGGGGGGCGGTAAGGATCGAACCTCAAGCTCTGATACCATGTTAAAGAACCTTAGGATACACCACCCCAAAAGCTAACTCAAAGGGTGGGAGTGTCCAAGGCCTTATAAACTCCACATTAGTTGCTCTTCAACCAATGTGGGACTACATATCTCAACACAAATTAATGTTCATCTTTGCATTCTTTAATTCCCTTTTAACTTCAGATAAGTAGGCTTGAAAGCTAATACCATGACAACATTAATTGCATAATAAACGTTGAAATATATAATTAGCAGAATGTTGCATTGCATGGCTGCAAGTATGGCCGAAAAAGCGTTAATTGCATCTAAATAAATTATAAGCCAAAATTAGGTGCAGAGCTTCAGTGGCGAACGCACTAATATAGTGTTCAGTCATCGGTGTGGACAGTGGATGCCACACAAAAAGCCCAATCCCACGGCTATTTAACTGAAATGTGCCAGTGGTAGACATGTACCTAAATTTCCTTAGGAAACAATTATAATTAAGATTATGATAATTGTTGTGTTGTGGACTTAGTGGTTCTACATCCTCTAAGGTGTAAAACTTTTCCACACACAGACACGCGCCCCATATACATATACACTTTAATTATATTGACCATTTAATTAATTGTAAGATATAGTTTAATTTAATGCTCAAAATATTAGCTATTAAGCAAAAAAATGGATTAATTTAGTTCATATCCGAATCTCGCATGCATGCAGCTGATGAAATTTTTTTAATATACACTGAAACTACCGTGGTTCTTTCATTCAAAAATTGACATATGTATTAAATTTTTTTTATTTTTTTCTTTCTCTTTCCTCAGTCCCACCCAATCTTTTGAAGTCACGTACTACAATAAAGTCACTCCTGGAGATGGGTGGTTTTAATTTCTCGAATCAGATAGACATGTCACGTGGATAATTAAAGTTCATATCCAAAATGAAGTTTCTTTTACACGTGGATAATTAAAGTTTATTCAAATTTAATTGTGATTATTAAATGAGATAAAATGATAACGATCACTTCGGTCCATTTATATGTATAATATGCATTTGTTCATACTCATATTCTTTAAAAATAATTATGACTATATTTACCAAAAAATAATAATAACTATGACTACATAGACAGTATTTTGGTATAAGAAAACATGCACGGCTTAATTCTCGTTCTCATAATTAATCAAAAGGGTTTGCATTTATCATTTAACATGACACAACAAACTTTTTTACACACACAACATTTTGTGGGCCCACACTTTTTGAAAAAAAAAGAAAAAAAAATTACGGCACGCAAAACGAATCTCTATAACATTACACAATCACTTTTCCTATAACATACCTCTTATAAAATCCTTAATCAAAAGGGTTTAAGCCAGTTTATTTTTGGAATTTGCATTTATCATTTAACATAACACAAGAAAGTTTCTTACGCACACAATATTTTGTAGGGCCCACACTTTTTGAATAAAAAAAACTACGGCACGCAAAACAAATTTACAATCACTTTTCCTACAACATAACTCTTATAAAACCCTTTATTTTTACGTTATTACTATTATATATTTATATTTTATACCATAAATTTCATTTGAACTTTGATCTATTATATTTATGATAACGTTGCAATGCAAGTGGACTAGTGCCACTAGATGTGTAAGGCATCTAAGTGATTTGATTTTTGTTTTTGTATGGCAAAGGCACTTTATAACTTTTTACCCTATTTTGGAAAATAAGGAAAATTATTATAATGCTGGCCAAATTGTCTTTTTTATACAAAAGCTATATTGAGATTCGAATATATAATCTCTCATAAATTATCGAAGCTTTCACCACTAGTTCACGTATTTAATGATCAATTTTTTGTATCCTCTCATTTATTATTTAATATGATTATATTGCATAAAAAAATTTAATTATATAAAGATGATCAATAATAATAAAAAAAGAGATGAGAAAAAAATATTGTGATGGAAATTTATAAAATTATTACGGTTAATTTATTAATGATGATTACAGTGACAGGATTATGTTAAATAATATACTAGAAGATTAATTATTATTTAAAAAAAAAAACTTGAGCGACATACTGATTTCAAATGCAATTTTGCTTTTTGGAGTGGGCAGATCAATCTCAATAAATTTGATTGAGTTAGACAATGTGTTAAATGTATCTCATTGATAGTTGTTATCAATGACAACTAGTTAATTAAAAAAAAACAATGTTATTGCGACAGGAATTTTTTTTTTTTTCTTTGGTAGATGACAGGAAGCTTTGGTAGATGACAGGAAGCTTTGTTTTGATTGAAAATGTCAATCACCTTACACATTAATGAATAATGGGTATTTTGACTAATAATAGTTGAGTTGCGTATGAGAGTTGAGCAGATAAGGTGAAAGTATAAATTTGATCCTCTCTGGTATAACTTTTTGAGAAAAATTTAAAATTTTAATTCTAAACTTGTTCTAAATAGTAATATCTCGTGTGAAAGATATTTATAATTTATATATAAAAAAATAGGTCTTTTGTCTAGTAAAATATTTGACATCAGCAAAATCCAACTGGAATAGAATCGTGGATCCTGGAAAACCTTCTACGCACACGTGTTTATCTTATCAGCCGCTATCTTCTATTGCCCGTCAGTATACTTACAACCTTACTCCAACTCAACTATAACGACGAAGTAGATGCATAAAATAATTATCCAATAACAATATAACATATTAAAGATTACTGGTCTGGTAGGAATTTTTAATTTTTTTTTTTGTCAAGTAGAAATGATTCTAAGACCCATTAACATTTCTAAAATATATTTATATTTATACTTTAAAAGTGATTTTATTTTATTATTTAGATATATTAATTTTTTAAAACTCAATTTTCAAATATTAATTTAAAATATAAATTGATTTTTTTAACAAATCAATTATACCAAAATTTTCAAACAAATACCTGTTAGTGACAATATCTTTCAAATTATATATTTCTTAGGCTGTAAATTTTAAATAGAGAGGTAGCGTCAGCCTCAGCATTAATTAATTAAATGATCTACAAGGTAAATTGAGGAAGTTAAAACTTTTTAAGTATTTTGTCACTGGAAATGAAATTATAACCGTCAACCAAATTTATTATCATGTTAAAAAATGTATATAATATTAAAAAAATAAGAGGGCACTTTATTTAATAAATTAATCTTGTCTTTTTTTAACACGAGAACAAATTTAATTTCTACAATATGACGAATATAATTGCTTTTGTCAAATAGAGTTGATTCTAAGTATATGACTTATAAAGTTTTGAAAAATATATCTATTTATACTTTATTAGTAATTCTATTTTACCATTTAAATAAAAATAACTATTTTAATCTCATTTTTAAAATATTTATCCTAAACATAAATTTAATTTTTAACAAACCAATTGTACGAAAATTTTAAGGCTTGATCAACAAAGTCCGAAAGAGTTAGTAAATGAATTTGATCTCTTGCTATGGAAAAAAAGTTGTTGCTAAAGACAAAATTTACTTCGATAATCTATACACTTCAAAAGGATTAGTTTTGACTGTCTACTATTTGAAGAAACTCAAAAAGATAAAATAAAATTTTAAGGCTTGCAAAAATATAAAATCGATGTTAGTCACAAAATATATCAATTATATATTTGTTGGTCAGAAAAACTCTGCAAATGGGTTGTTTTTTTTAATAGTTTAGATCACACGGATTACATGGATGGGTCCTGATTAGTATATTGCGATGACGTGAACATCTCTTGTGTGAGATTCAATGTCCGCATGGGATTCGGGTATAAAACGGAGTTCCATTTCACCGGGATTTGCCAGAACAGAAGGCAACAGAGAAATTAAACGGCGTTATCTCTCTCTGTTTATCTGTCTCTACAACAGCTTCGTCCTCCCTCCTCCTTGATCCTTCTATCGTTTTCGTAACCGTCGTTTCTGCTCCCTTTACACCATAAACCCCTTACCTCCTTCTCCCCGTGATCCACATTTATCACGTGACCCCGTTTCCATAATATTACCAATTGTGGCTCTCATGAAACGGCATTTCGCTTCAACTTTTGATGCCGTATATATGCTCCAGAGAGACTATATATGTTGATGATTGCAAAAACACGACGTCGTAGATCCATCGCAGCAGATTAGGAAATAGAAAACCGATCATTCAAAAGGCGAATTCATTTTAACAATCCGTGTAATAAGGAGTTTCCGAAATGAGCGGGAAGAAGAGGGTGCAGTTGGCGACGGGGAAAGAGGAAGAGGAGGAGGAGGAGGAGGAGGAGAAGAACGAGAACCGAACGATGTCGTCTTCGAAATCTCTTTCTTCTGCTTCTTCTTCGTCGTCGTCATCTTCTTCGGACGAGAGAGAGTACACGGTGCAGGACCTACGGGACCGGATGAAATCGTCGAGAGGAAGCCGATTCGATCTGATAGAGAGCGAGTTTGGACTCAACTCGACTCGGAGGAAGTTCAGTCGCCAAGCTCTTCTCCATGGAATCCGAGACTTCTCCAAAGACTTAATTATTCATCCTGATAACAGGTTTAACTTCTCCCTTTTTTTATCTTCTTCTTGTTTCAATCACAATTAATTAACTAAATAAGTAATTAATTCCTCAGTTAAAAATTAAGGTTCGGTTAGTTACTTAATTAATTACAGATATTCGTTTCTCTCTATTTGGGAAGGGGCATAAAATAAAAAATAAAAAATAAAAAAATCATACTGGCCCTAGAATAACGGGTGTAGATTATGTATGGTTGTAATATGTTGTGTTTTGGTTGGTTGCTTTGCTGGTTTGTGGATGAAAGGCGCGGCAAGTTTGAAACTAAAGGGTCACCTCCCTCCTCATCCGCACACGTGGCATGTGTTGTTTTCTTGGGTGGTCCCCGCAATACATGTGCTGTGAATTGTGATCAATACATGATGTGATCAATACATGTTTAATAATTATGATGTCGAGATTTATTTTGGAAAAAAAGAAAAAGAGAGTATCATATAAATTTTTTAATACTGACATATATTATATCAAATATTTTAAATTGAAAGAATAAAAAATATAAATATATAAATATATATATTTTTATTAAGTAAACTTGAAAAATAATACAGTATTTTTATAATGAAAAATCGAAATTAACCCGAATAATTTAACATCAAGCCATGGAAATCAATTTAGTTGAACATGTATTTTATTTTAATATGTATATAATACTAATAACTAATAAATGTATTTTGTTTTGTCATGACCGCACAACTTTATTTTTTTCATTTTTACAAACTAATCAGATTTATTATTACAGTCCATTTTTGTAAGGTTTAGTTTCATTCCAGTTTTTGTATTTGTTCAAATTTAATGCGCATATAATTATTATTCAAACAATATTTCAGTTCATACATAAATTTTCGAAAAGGAAGATAAGACAATTTATAGGTGAGTTTTATATAAAAGATTATATACAAACTAATCTCTGTTTCACCCAAGGCAAACTCAGACCAGTTTTTTTCCCCTTAATTGCAAAAGATTAAGAGTCACATGGCATTTTCGACATTTACACAGTCCTTATAGTTAATTATGGATTGACACTTATAAAATTTTAATTTTATGCGCATTGTATAAGTATTTTGACTTTGAATTTGATATTCAGATAAAATCAAAAAATATAAATTAAAAGAAAAAATATTTTAAAAAAGAGGTATGGATACTTAATTCAAGTAAAATCTAAAAGTATATACTAAAAATATTTAGAAATATAAAAAGTTACGTAATTAAATAAAAAAAATTAAATTTAGAGTTAAAACCCTTGACGAATAAGGTGTATATTTTTCAAAGGAAAATACTTTAAAAAATATATCCACTCTCAGTGAAATCAATTCTAATTTAATATTTTAGAGCATATAGAAGATGATGTCTCAGTTTTGTCTTTACCATCCAAACCTTTCAAATATAAATTTTGTTTTCGTGTTCAGTCTGCATATTTAATAATGATACATATTGATACTTTTTTTAAAGTTTCAATTTTCCCCTTTTTTTCAAAAGTTTAGGGAAGTTTGTGTTGACCCGGGTATTAAATTTGACTGGCAAATCTGAATCACCCGATAAAGTATATGGTTTATGGGGCGAGCTAACAAAATTGAGGAAATTTTATTTTTAGACCTGATTAATTTGATCCCAACTGGATCCCAAGTCTGATAGGGTCATAATTAATTGATATTTTTATTATTATTTTTTCAATTTATCAAAATTTTGTTTAAAAAATATTTATTTGTTTTAATTAATGATTAATTTTAATCTTTCAATGTGAATTAATTTAAGCTTTTAATATAAAATAAATAAATAAATTATTAACATTGATATTTTTTATTATAGTTATATAAATAATTGAAAATCAGTTTAAGCATCCCACATAGTGTAAAAAAATAATTGAAATATTAATTAATAACTTCAAATTATATTAAAACTAATGTACATTCAATTTAACTTGCATTAAGCTAGTTTAAGTAAGCATAATTGACACGCACACGGTGTGTGGAGAACGAGGCCCAATCCTTCAGCCCAATGATAAGGTTTCCTAAATCCTAAGTGTAATCAAACTGATTGACAGAAACTTCAAACCAGTGTTGAGTAACACGGATCGACCCGATCGGGTCAACTAAATCAATGTTATTAAATCTGTTTTGGTTATTGATCTGGTTGGAATATTGATAACTGGTTCAACCGCATGACCCAATAAGTATATATAAATCTAAAATTATTATCAAAAAAAAAAAAATCTAAAATTTACATTAAAAACTATAAATATATACTTAAATACCTATAAAAAATGATACTAATTTCAAGTATTTTAATATAAAAAATAATAAATTACACATCATTGTTCAATAAAAAATCAATCAAATATATAATACTTGTGAGACTGGTGTTTCAAATTCAGTAGACGATATCTTTAACTATAAATCAAATCAAAATTCCTTGCATATTGAATAACGAAGATAATATTAGTGTTGTAGGTACATAATCTATGTAAGTTAATAAGCTACGGATTACTCAAATATTTCAAAAGAAAACAAACAATTTGTGTGTGAGAGTGAAAAAAGAAAGACATCAATTGATGAGAACAAATTAGTTTTTTTTTTTTTTTTTTATGAACTAGGTCGGGTCATCGGTTGAACTGACCGAGTCATCGATTTTTATAAAAACTGGCCAGGTCACATCGATTCTATAACATGGTGGGTCCAATATAAAAATCGGACAGGTTACATGACCGGTTTACCGATTTTCGAGTTGACCCGGACGGGTCGATCCGGTTTTTATAACATTTGAACTAAACTGATACATCGGTTATATAATCGGTCTCCGCGAAGCCGTGGATCAGCCAAGCATTGGAACTGTTGCAAATCGGTGCAACACGGTCGGTTTTGATAAAAACTAGTGACCCGACCCATTCATTAAAAAAAAATTGTTTCAAAAATAAAAATCGTAAATGATATATTTTTTTTAAAGAAATAAGTTATTCTATCTTTTTTTTTCTAGCTATATTTGTCTACCATTTTCCAACACCATTAATTCACAAAATAGTTTTTTTTTTTTAAACATTTGAATGATTTGTTGCTTATTGATTTATATAGATTATTTACTTATAATACTAATATTATCTTGGTTATGCACTATGCAACTAATATTGATTTAATTTATAGACTTAGAGATGTCGTTTATTGAACTTAAGCACCAGCATCACAAGCATTATATATTTGTTTGATCATTTGTTGGATAATGATGTATGATTTATTATTTTTCATATTAAAATATTTGGAATTAATATTATTTTTTATATATATTTGAGTATATTTATAATTTTTTAATATAAATTATAAATTTATATATATTTACTGGATCATATAGTTAAATTAGTGATTCACTAATTGAATCAATAACCCAATATCTCAATGAATAACGGTCCGAATTTAATAATATTGTGCGTATGTTAAATGAAAATGAATAAAAGAGATTGCAAATAGTAGTTTCAATATTAGAATATCATGATCAATTCACATTTACTCTTGTCAAGTCAAAGTCCGTATTATAAAAATTTAATCTAACGGTTAAAAGAAATTAAAATAAAAAATATTGATTAACCATACATTACTCATTTTACCACCAAAGGGAGGAATGGGCTGATTGCAGACATAAAAGAGTAGGATTTAGGTTGAATATGGGGCTGCGGGGCAAGCTTACTCTTACGCGAGTGAATAAGAAAATAGAAATGCACTTTATTAAGCAAAGCTAGAAGTAATCCAATGCATGAAATACTGTCTTGGCCAGTACGAGTCACGCAATAGGATGAGACTGAGAGTAACTGCAAACACAATTGGAAGATGAAATTGTTTGATGCTGAAGTTGTATTACTATTGATGGGCACTACAGGTGGTATCGGTTATGGACAAAATTCATATTGTTATGGGCAGTGTACTCATCCTTCTTCACTCCAATGGAGTTTGCATTTTTTCGTGGCCTGCCTGAGAATCTCTTTATATTGGACATCATTGGACAAATAGCTTTTCTCGTAGACATTGTTTTTCAGTTCTTTCTTGCTTATAGAGACAGTCGGACCTACCGTATGGTCTACAAGCGAACCCCTATTGCTCTCCGGTAAATTTCTTCTTCTTTTATTTTCTTTGTCTCTCTTTCTCTCTCCCTAATGATGTTCTTCTTCTTGCCATGATAAAACCAAAATTTATTTATGGCTTGTCTTGGGTGTGGATTGTTTTTCTAATTGATTTATGGCTTGTTTCTTTTCGTGCAGGTATCTGAAATCTAGCTTTATCTTTGATTTTCTTGGATGTATGCCCTGGGACATCATCTTCAAGGTTCTACTTCTGCCGGATAAAACCAAAATTTCTTGTGTACCTATACTGCTTACCTTGAAGAATTGTTTTGACCATATATAACTTACGATTTTAAAAATTGTTTTAAGATTTGTTACTTGCCTATTTGATCCTACAGAGTCTATACTTTGCTGATGTTAATGTTTTTATAATGCCTGTTTAGTGTTTACATTTCAGTGTAGTTCTAGGCTTCCGGCATATTTTTCACTTTGCAATAAAATGACAACTGTTAGAAGGAACCTTTATCCACATTTTACTTTTTCGTTAACTTTCCATTGAAGTTTTATTTTACTCTCTAGATTATCTGGACTTGATGCTTGTTTTGGAATGCTTAAATCATGGGAAATAATAATTTTTTCTTAATTTTCTCAACAAGCTACAAAAAATTAAAATGCAATTATTTTCTTAAGATAAATTATTCTAAATACGCAATTAGGATTTGGGATAATTAAATCATTTTAATATCTATATAAACTTAGGCGAGACAAATGTCCCCTTCAACTTGCCAACTATTAGTTGGTTGAACTGGAAAAAGACATAACTTGCCGTCTATTAAGGAAAGAAGAAATAAATACCTTCGTATCTTGACATTCTGTCTCAGTACTTGGAATTGAAAAGATAAATGGCCTTTTCTCGTTTGGCTCACTTATTTTGTTGTAATGATGAAGCATTTGTGAGCTTTTCATTATGTCATTTGGAGCTTAATAAAGGGAGTTTATCCCCTCATAGCAATGGTGCGTACCATTGTCCTTTTGTTGTGTTTCTGTTTTGTATCTAGTCACTATGCAAGTCAGTTACATTGATAGAATGCCTCGTTGGTTCACATGTTTTGGGACTTGAATGTATAATTACTCATGTTAGCAGCACTTTATTGTGCAAGAAGTACTGAAGCCTGTATTTAAATGTCAGAATTTTGTTCTTGTATGACCTACAGTGCAACTCATTTAGCTAGACACAAGACTAATGTTGGCTTTGTTTTTGAGACATGGCCTGCACAAACGAAGAACGGCATGTGTTATACCAACATGTTAACAGCTTTTGTTATGACTTCTGGTTTTGTAGCAATTTGTTTATTATTAAAGATTTTCAGTTCGTGGCTTTTAGCCTTTTACTCTAACAGCTAGAATATCCTTTTATGAACAGGCCTGTGGACACAGAGAGGAAGTAAGGTACCTTTTGTGGATCAGATTATATCGAGTGCGGAAAGTCACGGACTTTTTCCAGAAGTTGGAGAAGGATATACGTATCAATTACATTGTTACTCGGGTTGTGAAACTTATAGTAGTTGAACTCTACTGCACCCACACAGCAGCCTGCATTTTCTACTATTTGGCTACTACCCTACCTGAATCCCAAGAGGGGTACACATGGATAGGAAGTTTAAAACTGGGTGACTCTAGTTATTCACATTTCAGAGAAATCGATATTTGGAAGCGCTATACAACATCTTTGTATTTTGCCGTTGTTACAATGGCTACTGTTGGTATTTTTTTTTTCTCTTTCTCTTTGTTTAATGCACAGAGCAATTATTTTGTTGGTCATTAGTTATCGATACTCTGTCTATGTTGTGGTTTGTTGCCATTATTTACATAGCCACTCCTAAGCCCAGAAATCAGAGAGTTATGTTAGGTAATTGATAGCCTAACGTAGAACTTTGACAAATCTTTAAGATGTGGATCAATGAGTCTTCCTCTACCCCTTTTTTAGTCAGACAAAAATGGAAGATAGTCTGATCAAATAATCACTGAAGAAAATTGTAGGAGAAGCCATTAAAAAAGATAGTTTGCGAACCTTAGTTGGTATCTGACACAGTTGTTACCTTGTCAGTATCTGCTTAAGTTTTTCTAGGTTGATGAATGAACTGACAGTTATTAGAACCTCTTCCTTGAGTTTCTGGATATTCATTGATCATATTTGATAATAAATATTATAATCGGTTATACTTTGTAGATCCATATATTATTCATAGATCTCTATATTTTAAGATTGTTTTCCAAATATTGTTATATCTTATCTCTCTTGAAACTTCTTCTGAATCGTGTTTGTGATATTCTTTTTCTTCCACAGGCTATGGAGATATACATGCTGTAAACATGAGGGAGATGATATTCGTAATGATATATGTTTCGTTTGACATGGTTCTTGGTGCTTATTTGATTGGTAACATGACAGCTTTGATAGTCAAGGGATCAAAGACTGTAAAGTTTAGGGACAAGATGACAGATCTTATGAAATATATGAACAGAAATAGACTTGGAAGGGATATCCGGGAACAAATAAAAGGCCATGTGCGCTTACAGTTTGAGAGTAGCTACGTTGATGCTGCTGTTCTTCAGGACATCCCCATTTCTATTCGATCTAAGGTAAGAAGGGAAAGAAGAGGGCCTTGAACCTCATTTATGGTCAGTTACAAAAGTTACCATTGTAATTATTCCTATTTGTTTCATTTTCTAGCAATATTGTGGTTTCCACACTGCTTCTAAATGCTTTTTGCCATTTCTTCACAATGTATGTAGCAGATATTTGTCATCTGGAATCAGTTTTGTTGATTTTACTCATGAAGTTCACTTATATTTTGGTCTATTCAGGTTGTTGCTGTCAGATTTGTGATAAATTCACAACTAGTAAAGGGTTGGTTAATTTGTTAAGAAAGTATACGATAAATATGCAATGAATGATACAATTTGAAATATCTTGAGTTTGCTAACGTATTTGAATACATAAAAGGAAATCTCATTCTAGTGTAGAAAATGATTTATCACTTTATTAAGTTCCTACTGAAGCTTCTTGAAAACATTTCCACACAACTTTTCTGAGAATAAGTAGGATACAATTTTAGGCTCTAACGGATTGACAAGCTATATTGTTTATTTTCCTTGCTGTTCACTTATGAATTATGATAGATTAAACTTTATTCATTGGAAGTTCCTTTTTCAGTTATTGTAAATTAAGGAAATTGATAAGGATCCCGATCATATCATAGTGTTGGACAGATTCAGTTTTCTCTATGTTTTAATCTATTCATTTAGGTAAGGTTTCTTTTGTAACATATTTTCTATTTATTTCCTTTGACTATGCCCTGTTCCTACAAATTTTCTGCTGGAGTTGTAGGCCGCCTCCTTTTTTTGTTGACACCTGGTTTTCAATTTTTCTACTTTTGTGGGTATTTGTGCCTTGTCGATAAAGTAATATGAGCTTGAATATTCCCCTTTTCATTCAATTCTGCTCAATTTTCAGAGCACTGGATGCTTATTCTTAGATTAATCCGAGTCTGATAAAATATAGCAGTTAGGATACACTTTTTCATTATAGAGAAGGACATTTTTTATGTTTCCATCATTTTGGTCTTGAATCATTTGGTCTAATTACTTTTTGCAGATATCCCAAACATTGTATTTGCCATACATTGAAAAGGTTCCTCTTTTTAGAGGCTGCACTTCAGAATTCATCAATCAGATTGTAAGTAACCATTTCCCCATTGTCTAGAAAGTTAAATTCATGTCAAGATGAAATGGCATCAATACTATCTGTATTTTTGGTGTACAAAGCTCTCTTTTCCTTTTTGGAATTGATGTATAATGCACAAATTACAACTAAAACTGAGGGCATCAGCACTTTCTATCTGTTTTTTATTTGACATGTAATTTTTTGTTGTATAAACTTCAACAATGGAACATGTATATTTTCATGCCATTACTAAATGGCTATCAGTGTTTTATGTTTTGTCCATTGCATTTATTGTTTTCCATGCAATTTATGTGCTCAACAAAAATTTCTTCCTTGAAAGACTTGAAGGGACAATGAATGCTAAATGGACAAAGTCCTGTCCTTTTTCTACATATTTCTACCCATATACTGAAATTGCCACCTCTACTTTCGAGGTTGAAATTCGTATTGATAAAAAAATTTGCTAGTATGGGTCTCGTCTGCGGAATGAATAAATAGCTAGTGGTACTTTGTCTAATAAGAGTTTCTTCATCATCAATTATCCTTTCCTGCTTGTGGTATGTTGAAGTGATAATAATTTTTGTTTCCTCGATCTTTCAGGTTATTAAACTGCATGAGGAATTCTTTCTTCCAGGGGAAGTTGTAATGGAACAAGGAAATGTTGTAGATCAACTATATTTTGTCTGTCACGGTGTGCTGGTATGATTTTATATTTCCACAACCACTTCTCCATTTGTTAAATTCTCTCTTTTTTTTCCCTTCTCCCAGGATTATGATATTTTTAGTTATAGCTTTTGAGTAATTTAAATTATAGACATGCTGGTATTTATTCATACCTTTCTACGCCTGTGACATGCAGGGCGATACTGAATTTTCTTATTTATATTGTATCTCCTTAATAAAGTATTTTCAAGAACAGCGGGTCCGATAATTCTAGTTACATGCTTTATCATATCTTCAAAAGTAGATAGGAAACTTTTTTTGTACGAATTCTAGAACTACTTCAAAAGTTTTTCACAGAAGATGAATTTCATTTAATGTTTATTGAATACTGGAAGCTGTTTCTATACAGGAGGAAATTGGCACAGCTGAAGATGGGTCTGAAGAAACTGTTTCACTTCTTCAACCTAACAGTTCGTTTGGAGAAATATCTATTCTTTGCAACATTCCTCAGCCATATACTGTTCGTGTTTGTGAACTTTGTAGGCTCTTGCGGCTTGATAAACAATCATTTACAAGTATCCTAGATATATACTTTAATGATGGAAGGAAAGTATTAAACAACCTTCTAGAGGTACTAACGTTAGATATATTATTTCTTACATCGTCCTCCCTTTAGTAGAGTTTCTGACATGAATTAAAAATGCATTATGCTACTCTCTAGTTGAACATGGATGAATGTTCTGAGTTACACATTTTAGGATTATACAATTTTTTCATTTCTGATCATGAGACAGCTAAATATTTCTTATTTTCTAGGGAAAAGAGTCTCTTAGAGGAAAGCAGTTGGAGTCAGACATCTCATTTCATATCGGAAAGCAGGAAGCTGAAGTTGCTTTGAAGGTCAACAGTGCAGCTTTTAATGGGGATCTCTATCAGCTGAAAGGTTTGATTCGAGCTGGAGCTGATCCCAACAAGACAGACTATGATGGAAGGTCTCCTTTGGTAAGGAGCTTGCAACCTCTTCATTAGTTACTTTCTCTTCATCTATCATGATGCTTGTGATTAAAGCAACTTAAGGATTCTGTTATAAAAATGCTTGCCTGATACGAACTTTTTTTGTTTTTCCATTAGCATCTTGCTGCATATAGAGGATATGAAGATATCACACTTTTCCTTATTCAAGAAGGTGTAGACATCAATATCAAAGGTAATTGTCTAACTTATCAAATATTCATTATTACAGAACATAAATTTCATCTGACACAAACATCATTAATGTGGTAATTTTTATAGATAACTTTGGGAACACACCCTTACTTGAAGCCGTTAAGAATGGCCACGATCGGGTTGCTTCTTTACTTGTTAGAGAAGGGGCCTCTATGAAGATAGAAAATGCTGGTAGTTTTTTATGTGCAGCAGTTGCAAGGGGAGATTCAGATTATATTAAAAGGCTTTTATCTAATGGCATGGATCCTAACTCTAAGGACTATGATTACCGAAGCCCTCTTCATGTTGCTGCAGCTGAAGGTTTATACATCATGGCAAAGTTGCTATTAGAAGCCGGAGCTAGTGTTTTTGCCAAGGACAGGTAACATTCAATACTCATTTTGCATGTTCATGCTGACATGAATTGTGTTTGCAATTAGGGAACTTTCGTACTTCCCTTGAAAAATGAAAAGGGACGTGCTTATTTAAGTCTGCCCAAATTCACTAGTGCACTTGTCTTTATATTTTGATACTGGCAGTGTGCATGCACCCATTTGTGTGTGTGTGTATGGTAACAACAACTGGAAGCCTGTCATGTCCAGAAACCATATGATTTTTGTTTGTATTACTGTCATATTCTGGACATATAATTCCAAAACCGAATTTCATCATGGTATTGGCAGTATAATCTTGACTTGGGAATGGGACCCCACTTATGTAATGCATGTGAAGAGAGAGATAAATACAAAAATTTCATATGATCAGGTCATATGAAATTTTAATACGAGAGGATCCACTCCCTTTAACCTGTATACATGGTGGCTACCTTGTCCGACTAGTTTTCCTTTTCCTTTTTCCCCACCCTTTGTAAATAAGATGCAGTAAGTTCGACACACACGTATAAGTGAAATTTCTCTTTCTCCTTTCCCATATTTTCCCTAATTTCAGAAGTCTTAACTGAGCCCTTAAGAATATATTTTTTGTTTATTGTTTCTTTCCTTTTTCATTAGGGAAAAGTGTGTATAATTTTGAAGGATGTAAAGTTGTGTCATTTTAAGAGAGAGAAAGAGATAGATAAAGGAGGAGAGAGAGTTGACAAAAAAAAAAGTTGTGGGTCCCACATCTTTGTGAGAGTGAAAGGATGTAAGTTGTGTAATTTAAATGTATAGACACTTTTCCCTTTTCATTATTACATAAAAGCGTAAACCAAACTTTTGGTTCTTTTTCGTTTCATACAAACAGATGGGGAAATACCCCGCTCAATGGAGCCCGAATGTGTGGAAATAAGAATCTGATCAAGCTACTGGAAGATGCAAAATCTGCTCAATTGTCAGAATTTCCATGTCCTTCCCAAGAATTTACAGGTACTGACATATTGTAATTTTTTTAAAAAAAAAAAATCTTATTCCAATTTAATGTGCATATCCTTTTCTTGTTATGTCTGCGCATCTCTATTTTTTCTAGACTCTAGATCATCTATTGCTGTAAACTCAACTATGAAATCGTCAACCATTTTCAGATAAAATGCACCCAAAGAAGTGCACAGTGTTTCCTTTCCACCCGTGGGATCCAAAAGAACACAGAAGACATGGAATTGTATTATGGGTTCCCCACACCATTGAAGAGCTAATCAAAACAGCTGCAGAGCAGATGGAATTTTCTAGCGATTCTTTTATTTTATCAGAAGATGCTGGTAAAATTACTGATGTGGACTTGATCAAGGACGGTCAGAAGCTATATTTAGTCCCGCAAACACGTTAGGCTTTCATATTATGGCTCTTATATCACCATATAAATATGTTCCTTGTAATGTGTTACCACCATTGTCCGTGCTAATAAATAAAGTATTTAATAATAGTGGCACCACACATCAAAGCTCGCCAAGAATTAGTGAAAAAAAGAAAGAAAGACGAATAATCAAATTCCAACTTCTTTGTAGTGCTCGTTAAAAAATCTCGAGAAAAAAAGAAAAAATCCTCCTCTTTTTGCCCTCAACTCTCTGCTTTTCTAGATGGGAAAAATATATGTCATTTTAAAGGAGGTAAAGTTATGTCATTTCAAGAGAAAGAAAGATATAGATAAAGGAGGAGAGAGAGTTGACAAAAAAATAAAGGTATGAGTCTCATTTTTTTGTGAAAATAAAATGATATAAGTTGTGTCATTTAAAAGAATAAACACTTTTTTCTTTCTAGATTGTTAAAGATTTGAAATTTGATTAAATCGCGTCCAACATCGGATTAATTCAATAATAGTTAACATATGTTAGGAGATGTATTTAACTAATAATAAATTCGATTCAAACTCAGTATCTTTTTATATGTAAACTAAATAACTAATGTTCGAAATCTTAATGGTCTAATTAATTCAATTTTGATTTTGAAGCTCAATATATATATATATATATATATATAGATATATATTAATATTGATATTAATATAATCGTGTACTTTTAATTCTAAATATAGAGAAGAGGTAGATTCAAATTTCTTGCACTTTCTTAATTTTTTTTTTAAAAATATCAATTAAACTTATAAAATATTATTGCCTTTGTTATATAATTCAAAATGCATAGATGTTAAAGTGATAAAATATGGCTTAGCTTAGCATCAATTCACCAAACTTATTTCGGCAAAATCTGAAGGATTGGCACATGGTAACGCGGATGACAGCTATAACAGCCGTTGATAATAAATAAAGCTGATAACACATTTAGAATCTGTTTCGAGTTTCAACATCCAGAATCTGAAAACAAGCTTTTACTATTTTGCGGAAAAATATAAAGAGAGAAAACCTTGAAAAAATCAGTTGTTATTATTAAGCGAGTAATACATGTAGTAAAACAATATTAATTAATTAAAATTGATAGAGTATTATAGAGTGTAGAGTGGAGTGTAGGAGCAGCACCGTCCCAACCGGTGCATTTCCATCAACGGTTGCAGAGAAAATGACAACCACCTTAACTGCACCATATATTATGATGTTCTGAATTTTGCCCCCATTGCATCTTTACCTTGGCGTCTCCTCCACTGTAACCACAATCTCACCACCGTAAACCTATGAGCAGTGGCGGAGTCACTTTAGAACCAGCAAATGTATTGGGACCGGCTGGTTTTCAAAAATGGTTAGTTTCCTGTTTGTAGAACTATGGAAATAACAGCTTCTTCCATAGATGGCAATGGCTGATTTTTTTTTAGGAATTGATAATTGGAACGAGCTAAAAATTATGTCTGGACTAGCTACGATTGATTAGATTGTTAAGCTTCCAGTTCATTATCATTAAGATTATAAAAATACACCTTATGTATTCTACATTCATTGTTGAGAATAACAAAGTTTGGTCACACTCAATCACTTTGATTCTCTCCTTATTTTCTGTCTCTGCAGCTCTCACTTGATTCTGAACTTCACCACGACGTTTAGCAGCCGCCACCAGCCAGTACTGATATGTTTCTTGCACATCAAAAAAGTCAACATACCTAATATATTGCAGGAAGCACTTGGACAACAATCGATTATGATTGATATATAGTTGTGTTGTGGAACTTAAATTTTTAGCAAAGAGAACAATCCCTCCAAATTTTTTAAAAATCTGACAAGATTAAAAAAAAAAAAAAAAAATACTCTCAGTTAAACCCACATCAAGTATGAGGTGAAGACAATTCTTGTATGCAGTGTTATCTTTGCATAATTACAAAGAAACTCTTTCCTGAATTCGAACCCATGACCTTTCAATCATGCAACAACAACTGTTCTGGTTCTATTCAAGAAAATTAGATAGGCTCCTAATCTTAAATATTATCAAAATGTTACATTACCCCCTAAAACTATAATCCTACATCCTCTTAACATATGCGTTGAATTTGTCGAAAGTGCTTTTGGGCTGCCACGTTAGCAGTGTTTGATACATCGTCTTTCTTCTTGTTCAACATATTTTCCTCGGACGCTGTGGTGGAGTGTGAATGAGAAGCAGCAGCAGCAGCAAAAAGTTGAGCTATGGACTCCATAAAGCAGGTCAACAGAGGCAAGCTTGAGCACACAAGTACTCCAAATCTGATATTCATGGCTAATTAATTGCTCCGCAAAGTTCAGTTATCAAAGTTTTAGTTCAAGCTTTTTGGTGATTTAACCATGGCAGTGTGCGTGCTAAATTTATAGTGGAGGTGGAGATTGGGACACAGTTGTCTGTGTCCTTGGAAAAGTCTCATCATAACGTGCGAAGCAAGCTACCAGAAAGGAAGAATCGTCGTGCTTGCATTATTTGTCACGCCATTTTTGACTATTAGAGGATAATGTCAATAAGAGAAATAATTAAAGCTAAAAGAAATCCAAAGCATCAAGAAATTTCTTATCTTAGATGGTGACTTTGGAAGTAGGTTAGAAATTTTCTAAGGATGATGAAACACACACAAATAATGTATAAGTGGAAATTTGTTGTAAATAATATTGATTTAGTTATTATTTAGTTTATTGTTGTATTGGGCCAAGCCCTTTGTTGTATTGGGCCAAGGCCTTTAGGTTAAAAGTAGGTCACATATTTTCTATAAATAGAGAATCCCTTGTACACATTATTTACAATTCTAATATATATCAGAATACCCTTTTTCAAGTTGGTATCAGAGCTCTCGATCTTGAGGGCTCTGCTTCCGCGCCTACGAAACCCTTTTTTGTTTTCCATCTCTCGCTGCCATCAGCCGCCACCGGAAAAATTTTCCGGGGACCTCTTGGACCGAGAGATCACTGCTTCTCTTTGTTTTTCTCCCATCTTCCTCAATAACAAGACCCCAAACTGAACCGTTCAACGTCACCTCCAAACAGAAGCGTTTTTCACTAACCAAGAACACTGTTCATCGCGATTGACCTTCTTTTTGGTGGCCATTCAACTCCGATCAGCCCCAGATAGGTTCGCAATCCTTGGACGACCTTCGCCTGAAAAGCCCAGCCCGATCGGACGTCAGACGCGCCTCCACGCGCCGCTTCTTTCCCTGCGCGTGAATCTCACGCGCCGCCAGCTTCACCGGCGCGTGACAGCGCGTGACGGTTGCTTTTTGGCTGCGGACCGGTGCAGTCTTGACCGACTCTCCAAGCTCGTGTTGGATCTGTGCTCACCTCTTTGATCGGACCTCGTTTGGTAATTTTTTTCGTGATTTTTTGGCTTATTGGTACTATTCCTTGAGTTGTTTTGCAGTATGGCCACTTCCGACGGTGATTCAACTCTAAACTTATCTGAAAAAAATTCTACCTCATCTGTGGTGACCCCTCTTGGTCACAATGATCTTCCAAATCTACATCAGAGTTATCGATTTGACGGATCAAATTATTTGTCATGGTCTCAGTTCATTCGTACTACCATCAAGAGTCGCAATAAGATTGCTCATCTTGATGGCCCTGCTCCTGCTGCCACGGATCCCGATTTTGCTGTTTGGGATAATGAGGATTCTCTTATCATGACTTGGTTGTGGAATTCGATGACTCCTGAAGTGGGTCGTCATTGTATGTTCTTGTCTTCTGCTATGGAGATTTGGGAAACTGTCCGCTCCACTTATTCCTTGAAACAGGATATGGCTGCGCGCTATGAATTGCGCAATAAAATATTCACTACAAAACAAGATTCTTTATCCGTGACTGAGTACTATGGCACCTTGAAGGAGTTATGGACTGAACTTGATCAATTTCAGAGTTTGAAGATGAAATGTACTGCAGATGCTACTGCTTTAGCCAAGGAGGTAGAAAATGAGCGTATTTTTGATTTTCTTGCTGGTTTGAATTCCGAGTATGATCCTATTCGGGTTCAGATACTTGGCAAAGAAACTTTTCCATCCCTTTCTGCTGTTTTCAATACTGTTCGGGGAGAGGAGAATCGTCGGGGTGTTATGATGAACCCTGATAAATCTGTCATGTTATCATCAAAAGATGGTGCTGCTTCTAAACCCACTGATGGGTCTGCTATGATTTCAACAAAAAAAGATGGTTCTACTTACAGGAGTTCCTTTCCAAAATATTCTGATGGAGCATCTTCTAGACCTAAGAAAGATGATCGCTGGTGTTCTTATTGTAAAAGAACAGGTCATATCAAGGATCTATGCTATCGCCTCCATGGAAAACAAACTGTCTTAGAAAAGATGGCAAGGATGCGTGGTCAAGCGCATTTTACTTCTTCTGATATAGCTCCTACACCTAATGAGACCCAACCTGCATTTCGTCCAGATGAGTTGGAACGACTTCGAACCATACTTGATTCTCTGAGTAAGCCATCTGGTACTAGTGATTTGGCTATGACTGGTATGAGCTCCAAAATTTCTTCTTTTCTTACTTCATGTATTGATTTTAAACATTCTTGGGTTGTTGATTCTGGTGCCACTGATCATATGGCTTGTTGTGCTGACCCCTTTGTCTCTTATAACCCTACCATTGGCACTCATACGATAGCCGTAGCTGATGGCTCCCATACATCAGTTGCGGGTTCTGGTAACATAAAATTACAGCCTTCCTTACATCTCAAAGATGCTCTTCATGTCCCTAAACTTTCTACTAATCTTCTTTCTATTCATAAAATTACAAAAGATTTAAATTGCACTGTAACCTTCTTTCCTACTCACTGTGTTTTTCAGGATCTCGCCACAGGGAAGACGATTGGGGGTGCTAAAGAGCAAGGTGGGCTGTATTATCTGGTGTCACAATCTCCTGCAACTCATGTTAAGGATCACATCTTACTGTCACATGGCCAGTCAACTGCTGATTCTCTGATTTGGCTTCATCATAAGCGCTTGGGACATCCTCCATTTAGTTTACTCAAGTCTTTATTTCCGTCTTTGTTTTTGTCTAAGTCTGTTGAGTCTTATCATTGTGATGTTTGTGAGT